TTTAGTACAAAAACATTAATTTGAAATGTAAATTGTAAATAATGTAACTGTGTTACAGCCGAGGTTAAAAGATCGTTTGTATATCAATTCGATTCCGTTTCAAGCACGTGGACTCGCTTGTTTACAATTATGTATCTGATTGAATGACAATTATCTATTTATGTTTTATTTGTTGATTATGCAACTAATCAATATTGATATGTATCTACACATACAAATTATTACCTATAAGCATTGTACTTATTTTACTTATTATATAATAAAAGTTATGTATGTATGTCGTGGTGGCCCGGTTTAAACTGTCAAACACCGAGCGGACACCGGTGACCGCAACCTATTGTTCTTTAATTGTGTCTATAATGGTACTCAAAGGGTTAAGACGCCCGCTTCTCATGCAAGAGGGAGCGGCTTCGAAACCTACCAACGGCAAGTACCAACGTGACTTGACTCCGAGTTATATGTACTTTCTAAGATTAGATACCGCTGACAAACGGTGAAGGAAAACATCGTGAGAAAACCTGGACTTATAATTCTAATAAAAGTTTGTAATCGCCAACCCGCATTGAGCAAGCGTGGTGATTGATGCTCAAACCTCCGTGTGAGAAGAGGCTTTGCTCAGCAGTGGGCACTTATAGGTTGTTGATGTTGATGATGAATAAAAATTATTTATGACCATTTAAAGCGATGAGATCGTAAATTACTTAATTTTTCCGGAACTTATTATATTATTACTTTATCACTGACAAAGGACGATATGTAGCGCACCCCATGCTCCATTATATAGGAGCTGAAGATGACCATGTCGGCATTGTTTTAGTAATATAAGAAATATTTACTCCCTTGTCTTTCTCCCTAAAAACTAGGCATTTTTAGAGCTTTTAAAAAATCCTATATATCTACATAAGACATAACATAGCTCCACGCCTTTATGCCACTGTACAATGTAACTCTTTTCACTATTAATGTTGTGTTATTAAATAATCTAGCATCCAATTAACTCCTTCGTCCCTAATACAAAATGGAAATAACACTCATAATTCACCAGTGTCCAGGCACTAATATATTAATTCACAAATAACATTACCTAGTGTATGAAAACAATTAATTTCCGCTAGCACTTAGAAAATAACCATTTTATTATAATAATATAACAATTTCATAATCCAAGTGATGCGTAATTATGAACTATTCAAATTCAAGCGTCACATTGTAATTATTTTAGTGGACCGGACAAACGTAGGCTTTTGTATGTTCCTACAGTTCTGTTTCTGTGGTTGTTTTTCGATTATTTTTGTCTATAATATTTTGGTAAAAAATGTAGAAATAATAAAATAAAAGTAGAACAAGAGCTAAATAAAATATCAAAGAGAATCCTAACATAGAGACCATAAAATAAAGGTAACTTTTGAAATTTATGAAATAGATTTTTCAGTAGGTAATCTTGGTACTTCGTTCGCAATATTTTTGAAATGAACACACAGCGTATTTTTATATTTTACATTTATTTTACTGTAGGTAAATCTATTCGATATTGGCACAGGAATTCTGTTTCTGTATCAAAAATATACATTTTAAACAAAGATACAAAAACACGAGGAGGTTAACGAAGGCGTGTAGCTAGACTTACATTAATCAGGTGTTAATAAATCTGTACAGGGAACTATATCTAATTATAACACAAACATTTCTAGATCAGCCTACATCTAGTAACTAGATACATGGAACAACAATCATAATTCTAACTCGATATTTAAACTAGATCACATATCACCTCACTAGTGTCATCATTTGTCACTTCACTCATCATCCAAGTCAAACCACATAGAAGTAACACTCCTCGACCCTCGCTCCCTCGCCTGCTCCTCCGTAATGATCCTAAGGACCACTACCTCCATCATGCACAGAGCGAACAGTATCAGAAACACTGCAAAGTTCGACCCCTGGTGGTGGAACTGGAAGGAGGCCGGCAGCGGCCCTGGAGGCGGCCATGCTGACACCCCAAACGTCACTAAACTCGATACACTGGATAAAATCATAATCCTGTTTCACATCACTATTCCCATTTTCAGAGTTCGTAATTAGTTCCGACAGTTCTGCCGTCACATCATTCGGAATCGATTGCTGGTATTCGATTCGAATTTGTATCCGCGAATCAATTAATTGTTTGTTTACAAGCGTGCAAATCTGCCGCGTGCCGGAACGACTGTGCGGTTCGTTATCGGCGGCGGTGTGCGCGGCCCGCGAATGCATCGGCCGCGGCGCTCGGCGCGGGCGCCTCCAGCCGCTGTTGCAACTCTCTTATGAAATATGAATCGCTTTAGTTAGATTCTTTGAGTTGGGAAACGGTTGAAATGCGAGTGAGCGCAAGCAGCGACTGTTTTGCGGTCAAGGCTGCGCGGGTCCAGTGTCCGATGACCTTTACTGTGACGTAGTGTATTGTAATGGGCCAGTGTACGTCGCGCCCTCGATGTAGGGCGGACTAGTTGCTACACCTGGACACTTGTGTTTGTGTTGGAAGTGTCATCTTCATTGTTTCCCCTCTAATTTATTACACTGTCGAAATACTGCTACGATTGTACGATTGCACGGTTGGCGCGGTGACTGGGCAACTGGCTACCGCGCAACGTGTCGCGGGTTCGATTTCCGCACGTAACAACTCTTTATGTGATCCATAAATTGTTATTCCGGGTCTGGGTGTCATGTGTATACGAACTTGTATTTGTAAACGCACCCACGTCACAGGAGAATATCCTAGTGTGGGGCAACGCTTTATAAAACGAAAATAGGCCATGGTTAACAATAATCACCAAAATTGAAATAGTTGTACCAATACGAACATTTCCATCTATTTTTGATTCTGTATATTTAGACTCAGCTTGCATATTAAAAAATCCTTGAAAAAATTCGTTGATATTATTTACTAAGTTTTTTTTTGCAAAAAAATCCAAAAAGCGATATTTTGGCTTGAAAACATTTAATCCTATCTATTAAGTAAACAAGATACTTTATCGGCCGGCAACCGTAGCATTTAGGGATTATTATTTCGATCATTGTGTCATTCACTCTGCCTAGTACCCATGTGGATAGAAATGGGTTATCAATGTAGGTCACTTAGAGTAAACACTGATATCGATACAAACGTCAAACCTACGTCAAAATAAATAATATTGTGTGATTTTTTCGAAAATAACACTTAGTCCTCCTGGAATTAAATTAGAAAGGAACAGAATACTAAAACCTTCAAAAATGCCAGGTAAACCGAAGGAGAGGTCACATTACAGGATTTAATTTTGTCGTAGTGAAAATATAAGAAAATGAACCCAAATTTTTATAAACTAAGCTTCAGTTGTCCATCACCACATAGTATAAAACAAAGTTGCTATCCGACGTCTGTCTGTCCCTATGTATGCTTAGATCTTAAAAACTACGCAACGGATTTTGATGCGGTTTTCTTAATAGATAGAGTGATTCTTAAGGAAGTGTTATATATATAACACATGCATATTACACCCGTGCGAAATCGTAGCGGGTCGCTAGTAAAATATAATCTTCAGATACTTTTCGAATACAAACTCCTAGTTTTATAATGTACCGGGAAATAAGGCTACCATACCCATATTGCATTACATATTGGTCCAATCCATGAGGTATAATGTTTCTAAGACATTTGAGCTGAAGAGAAAATGCAAGTAAACTAGTATTACCAGTTGTTGTACCTTCGCTAGCAGGCTGGAGGTGGCTGCCTGGCTGGTAGGAGTGGTAGGTTTCACAAGTAAGGCGGATTTGCATATACAGGTCCCTTGATAAGGCAGAAGATTGCAAGAGGTTAATGAACTGTATGAGTTGTGTTGTGCTTGAGAATCCCTTTGGCTATTTCAACTAAAATACTTTGTAATTGTAAATCCTATTCTTATCCTCATTTTCTACTGCTCATATTTTAATATATCCTTAAAAATATCTACAATTGAAAATTGAACATTATGCAACGATTCGGTTTTTTTTTAAAGAAAACACTAGGATTTTCTCCTGTGTCGTGGGTGCGTTTACAAACATACAAGTTCACATATACATGACACCCAGACCCGGAACAACAATTTGTGGATCACACAAAGAGTTGTTCCGTGCGGGAATCGAACCCGCTACACGTTGCGCGGCAGCCAGTTGCCCAGCCACCGCGCCAACCTAAGCTTTAACTAACGTTATTTATTGTAAAGTTTATTTAAAGATAATATTGGAACGAAAACATCGAATAAAGCCATGGAACCAGCACGAAGTTTGAGTGTACCTACCGTTCATAATATCCAACGAATTTCGTGCTACATTATTAGATATTTCCGTTCCAGTTAGGGAAACAAAAGTGCACCCAATGCATTATCTAACATAACGTAAATGAAGTAATAAATGATTGATTAGTTCAGTAAGGTAACCAATGGTGTAGCAATACTGATTCCGTCAGATGTCGCTTGCGATAGATTGCTTACCTAGGCCCCTAGACATTGAATAATCATTCTTTGCACTAAAACGCTTGTTTAAATCTGTAAGTAGTTCGCAAATGAGAAATTAGAAATATTTTGGTGAATAATTGATTGATGACTGTTGATGAAGCGAAAGAGGTATGTAGGAATCGTAGCACTTGGCTTTCCACAGTCTCTGCCAACCCAAACCATGGGAGACAAGCGTAAAGTTATGTATATATGTACCTATGTAGGTATGTATGTAGGTGAATAATTGTTTTTTGGGTAAAAAGAAAATAAAAACCGATAGCATTTTGCTAGATCTTGATCGATATAAGACTTATACTATAACTTATATTATAAGTTGATGGTTTAGGTAATAACTACACGATATCGGGTTTTGGCCGAGTGTTATTAAAGGTAAGGGGGAAAACCTTTTCAGAAATAAAACCTCAAACACCCATAATAAAAACAAAAATTCTAACCTCACTTTTCAACTGTCATGTATGACAATCCAGTAGCAAGTTAACCAAAGAATAAAACATTATGTTCATTTACGTTATATATAAAGATCCTCCTGAACTATCCCTGATATTTCCACGTGGATCCGAGGTTATTGACTCTTCAGTCGAGAAGACCTTGCTGGTCAACCCAGTGTGTCCAGTGAGGATCATACTTGAGTACATCAGGAAGCACTGTCGCCTCGGCATCTTCACTCAGTTCGATTTGGCTGATGAAAATGGCTGTCTCATGAGATTGTTCCATCAACCGACATACGCGTATGTCACGGATCAGTTCGAGCATAAGGGCACGTATTTTATTATCGTTTTTAAGGTAAGAATTTATGTTACCGACGCATTTAGTAAAAGTAACAATACATTTAAGTGTGGGAGAGCCATGCTTCGGCACGAATGGACCGGCTCGATCGGAGTGATACCACGGCCGAGCAGAAAACTAACGTGAAACACCACTTGCGTTGTGTGTCGTCATGTGAGGAGGCAAAGTACTACTGTTTTTTTTTTAAAGTTAGTAGTAACATGGAGTCTGGAAATGTGCCCGGTAAATAGTAATAGGCTCGCCCCCTATTATATGGGACTCATAAAACATAAATAGTGAAATGTGGTTGTTACATTGTACAGTGGCAATAAGTGCCGTAGTGTGCACCTCTCTGTACCTACCCCTTCGGGGATAAAAGGCGTAATGTTATGTTATGATCTAATTAAACAATAATCAGAAAAGTGGAGTCATGTTATATGTAATACTTTTTGTTCCCGGCTTCTCCTTAAGGAAATTGACGTCTACACTTACTACTTACAGTCTATGTTTAAACATAACAGCACGACATACCAGTTATTTTTAACTAGGTACATAGATTTCCTATGTTTGCAGGAGACAGAAAAAAAGGTTGATGTGTTGCCGCAGCTGAGCTATGACAACAGACTGCATTTCGACTTGAAGATGAAAGTGAGGAAGTTCCTAATGGGGGGAGACCTCAGCACTTCCACCGTCACTATGAGCAAGTTACTGGCACCATCGTCTGCGAGCCGGCTCTCTGCACACCAGCTCAGCAAGGTGACGGTCAAGAAAAATAAATAAATGAAGCTCATGAAGATATAAAGTTATGTTATTCAAGGAATAAATTAGATTGATATACCAAGGAATTTGTTTATTCAACATCTATTTGAGAAAATGGTCGATTTTAATCTTAGTACTAATCATTTCTTTCATAAATCTCCTCGATCGATTGCTTGATTTCTGAAGGTCGTGCCCTTGATAGGCTTTCACTGCTATCTATGGTATTACCCTCCATCTTGTCGTGTATTCGGCTTCTCTCAGAGCTTTCTTAACAGCGAGTCCAGTGTAATTGATAACTTGGTCACACCATCGGCTAGGTGATCGGCCACGTGGTCTTTTTCCTTCCACACTACCAACAACAACCAATTTGTCGAGGTTATCTGACTGGCGGCGGGCAATGTGACCGAAATTACCAAGAATTCACTAGTAACATACGGTCGACAGTCTAGTTTTTATATCGAGCTGTTCCCGGATTGACTTATTTGTTCGTCTGGCAGTCCATGGTATCCGAAGCATTCTTTCTAATAAAACATATTAAATACATAGTTGTTAATTTAAAAGCGCGTTGTATACGAATATACTAAGTATGGGCGCCTGCCCAGTAATAAATGTCACGCTCTTGTAATGCGGCTTGCGATATTTATTTGCAGGCGCTACCATTAATTTCCAGAGTCAGAGGCAATGATTAGATTATCATGTTTTTATATTTATTTATTTATTTATTTATACGAATAGAATGGTACAAAAAGCCAATTACACTACTCAATACATATTCAATTGTAAAAAACAATACATTAAAAAAAATCATTAGATACTATAGTTCATTCATTTCTTTCGCAAAACTTTAAGCATTCCGACAAAAATAATCTTATTTCATTCGAAAACACGTCACACTCTGGCGGTGAATCCAAGAATCGGTTTAAAAGTTTAATGTACCGACACATTTGTTGAATAGTTATAAATTGTTACAGTCACATATTTTATTGGACCCAAACCTTATCTCTATGATGAGAAAGGATAGATAGACAATGTAACCAACCTAAACCCTTTCTCGGCTGCCAATACATTCAGCTAAATAACAATACTAACATTGAATAAAGTTAAATGACAAATATAAAAAAAAAATATCAGTAAAATCATCCCAATTAGATACTACATATAGTAGAGTAGGCAGTGTAACTTGTGAACAATAATGAGCTGCCCTCATTAAATAATGGCGGACATACAAACATACGTACAACACACGCACTATCATAGTTATAGTTTGTCAACCTTCCGGTATACAGAAGCGGTAGGAGGTGCCTACTCGTGTCCGAATATGGCACGACTCATGTGTCGGGTATTAATTGGTATGGGGGAACCATTTCTATAGTTGTTTGTGGGATAAAATGGTATAAAATACCAGTGATAAAACTATACGAAGAAAAATGTATCTATCGCTAATTTGTTTTGTAAGCAGAACTCGAGAACTCGGGAATATTGAGATAGGTGACAATTAGCTGGTATAGAAATTGGTGCCAATTTTTGGTACAGTATGAAAAATAGGTACAAGTTAACGATAACTTGTATCCTCATGTACTCTAGTGTAGGACAAGCCGATGATGATCATGATGAAAAAATAAGTAGTTTGGTTTTGTTATTATTGTCCATACTTCTGTCTATATACTGAAACGTAATATTATTCAATCCTGTCTCGTCATTGTCTTTGGCTTTTTGCGGAAGTTAGACTCACGTCCGCAGGCGCAGGAAATTGAAACTTCGCTGCGGGAATAGTAAGTAGTTGCGTAATTTATTATTAATTGATTAAATGCCTTATATTTTGCACTTCTCCAAAACTTTGTTAAACAATATTTCTTCAACTGATCTCTACTGAGACTAAAGTAGCTGCAAAAATAGTTTTATTGCACGAATTTAAAGTAAGTTGATGTGATGTGATGTAGAAAACTCGCTCAAAGCAAGAACGTCGGTGCTTTTAATCTATTTGTCTCAATTTCTCTAACCTCGAACTTGATTCAGCCAATGGAAACATTTACTTTGGCTCTCTTACAAAAAAACCGCAACATTCCATAGACCCATAGCATAGAGGAACAAAATAAATTCTGACGAACAACGGACTCGGTTGGCGCAACGAACCGTGGCGATGCGCTCTTTGGCGCGTCAAAACAGCTGACAACCGACCGAAATAAGTAGTATTAAATAATCGTGAATTACCATAATTTGAAAACTACTTTCTAAATCGGTAGGCTTATATCCGATAACAGTTTTCCAACTGTGGCACTGTGCTGTGATATTCCCTTATTCACTTGTTTTATTTATCTCACTGTGTTTTTCTGTGTTCAGGATTTTGGTGTTGATGTCGCAAAACTTGCGGTTGACATCGATTACGTATTAATTACACGGCGTTTTGTGGTTTATCTGGGGTAGCTATTGTCTGACCGGCTATTGTTGCAAAACTTCCTTCTACTAACAATCTCCTTGTATGCGATATACTGTGATTACCTAAAGTGAAATTAGCCACGAAATTTGAATGGGTATTATTTGCTTTGTGGGTTCTCTATCAGGTGCTGATAATCTACATTTTATATCAATCTGTAATGACTCCTATCTGATGATGCCTTAAGTTCATTTTGTCCTTAACTTCAGTAGCTACACAAACAAAGTATGTATTCGTACCATTGTGATAGTCTTTGGCAAAACTAGACGATTATAAAAACTCTTTTCAATTCTTCTCTTGAGAGTAACTTTAGGCTTTGTAAACACCAATAGGAATGTTATTATAATCTTCGGTATGTTTACTTTATGAGGTCACATTGTTTATTGAATTTCAGCCTTTCAATTCGATTGTCAGTCATTGAAGCCTAATATATTATTTGATATATGGAAATTATCTAATCACGATTCACTGAATCACGAGTATTTGTGCAATGACCTTCGTGAAGCTGACATTTTGGTGATGTCCAAGGGTGTCTGGGCGCTAAATATATTGGATTCAAGGAAATAATAGCATTGCGTTATTTAGTTATTGTGGAAATCTACGTAAAGATTGGCAATCCAAGTTTTCATAGCCTTGTTAATATTTTTTAGTTCATTATTGCGAAGTCAGTTTTTCTTGGTTTTTCTATTAACCACTCGATAATGTTAGGATAAAAAGTAGATAAAGATAATTTCATAATTTCAGAGGTAGATAAATTTCTATTGCCTGAACTTTAAATAATATCTTATAGTATATAATTATGTGAGGAAATACATATTTGTATACGCTATGGGAAAAGGACATTTTTCAATCAAGTAAAGTTAAAGCAATTGAAAAAAAAAACAAAAGTAATTTGAAATGCTGAAATACAAGTACCTACATCCAGCTTTTGTATTTGTCTATACGTCTTTTAATAAAACTAGCTCATTCCAACAAGGGGTAACATATGTAATGAATGAGCTGCTTTTAATAGTTTTATGTAGTTTTTTTTAACCGGCTTCCCAAAAAGAGCAGGTTATCAATTCGGCTGTATGTTTTTTGTCAAAATCACTTTTCCTATTTCCTCTCATTTCCAAACTTTCACAGTTGTTGGTCCACCGTCCGCCGTCCAGCCTGCGCACGAGCATTGCGTAGATCCATGTTAATCGATTGATGCGCCTGCGCAGTACTCGTACGTGATAGGTTATCCAGCTCAGTGCACTTTCACTGTTACTCAGTATTACACTATTACTTAGTTCCAGGAAAAAACGTAAAGAAAATTGTGTATTTTACTTTGTTTCAAGTTTTCACTGAAGCAGCGGTTTATTTGTGGCGATTTAGTTTGGAGAAGATGAATTAGAAATTACCTAGGTACCCTATGTTTTGATCCTATTATTCTATAGCAAGGCCTGCATACGCAAGAAGGTTATAGTCGTCTGGAAATACCAATCTCTAACATTTTCAGTTTTGTCCATGGCTTTCAGGGTTTACGTTAGTGGTTTCCAAAACTTTGCAGATTTGATGTTTACAGTTCATTTACAATGATAAGACGTGTCGTTTTAAATCAATCTAGCCTAGACGTTATAGTTTATACTTGAGCAAAACAACTTGTTTTCTTGTTGAATGAACTACTCTTATGCGAAGGGCTTCATGGGGTGCATAACATTTGATCCCTAACTTTACATAGGTGACTACCCTGCCTTAGGAAGTCCAGCAAAACGAGCAGATGCGAGTAGATATGTGGTGTTTTTGTTAATATTAATTTGGACATGACTCATGATACAGTTTCAGCACTATACCTACTAGACATGAAAGTAATTACGAGGTATGACAGAATAAAGAGAAAGGCGGTGCAATACCTAGACTCATGCATTGATACATTTATAAAAATATATAGTTTGTGATATCGTTGAGATTAGAGTTACCAAACAAATGTTTCGCATATTGTAAACATGTTGCCAAACAATAATGACGCTTAATATACATAATTTTAAGGCCTACCTTTAAATACAGTTCCAAATTCACAAAATCACTGTTCACAAACACTACACTGGAACACAAAATCCAAATTCAAATGTGACGGAAGCGGATCGTTGGCAACTTCCGTTCGGTGACATGAGCGCGGAGTGAGTGAATGAAGTGAACTGAACGATTGCGAGCGGCGCACGCGATAAAACCTTCTTTTTTGAATTCGAATTTCGAACGCCTATGTTCCATAGTTGAATGAATACAGACTGCAGCACATCAAAATGACTCATATATTGATTGATAGATTTTCAGTTTTATTACTAAAGTGTAGAGTTGAAAATTAATTGCAAAATATTAAAGATAGGGATAGGTTGAAGTGCTGGCGTCACCATGCGTGGTGTAGGTTAATGAGTACTGGTGATTCAAGGTCATAATTATTGTTCCATGTAATGAAGTAATTTAATGATAGGCGGTGATTGGTTGGGTAGTCACCGGTGTGAGGAGCTTCCAAGTTCGATTCCGGGATCCGCCAAAACATGGATATAATCTTTAAGTATTCGTAAAGCAATAATGTTATCATATATAAATTATATTTTCCAAG